TCTCTTCCTGCGCTTGCCGACCCTGAGTCGGACTCTCTTCGCGCTGCCAGTCCTACTGTCACGCGTCTGCTTGCTACTGTCGTCACTGACCCCTCTTTTGAGTCCACTGCTGCGTCTGCTCTAGTCGCTGAGCTCGTTGACTTTGCTGCTCGCTGTCGTCTCGACTACGCTGCTGGTCTTGTTGCTGAGTCTGCGTCTGTCTGTCCTCCGTCCGTCGGGGGTGAGTGTGCTCTTGGCACGGACGTCCTAGAGGACAGACAGGAGGAGTTACAGTGTCTAGCGGCTGCTTCACCTCATCTCGCGTCTGTACTGCTTGCCCCTGAGGGAGACCCGGATGCACTAGACATCCCGACTCCGCGTTCTTACGCGGAGGCCGTAGAGGGTCCCTACTCCTCTCAGTGGCAGGCAGCTATGGATGCAGAGATGGCTTCCTGGAAGTCCACAGGCACCTACGTTGACGCGGTTCCCCCTCCTGGGGCGAACATCGTCAGTGGCATGTGGATCTTCCGGGTGAAGCGGCCGCCGGGCTCTCCACCTGTCTTCAAGGCGCGGTACGTTGCTCGTGGCTTCAGTCAGCGGCAGGGAGTTGACTACTTTCAGACCTTCTCTCCCACCCCGAAGATGACCACTCTTCGGGTGCTGCTGCACATAGCCGCTCAGCGCGACTACGAGCTTCACTCTCTCGACTTCAGCACTGCGTTCCTGCAGGGTAGCCTGCACGAGGAGATCTGGCTGCGCCGTCCACCTGGCTTCACTGGGACTTTCCCTCCTGGCACCCAGTGGAGCCTCCGACGGCCAGTCTACGGTCTCCGCCAGGCACCGCGTGAGTGGCACGACACACTGAGGACTACTCTTGCGGCTCTTGGGTTTGCTCCTTCTACTGCTGACCCGTCGCTGTTTCTGCGCACCGACACTTCACTGCCGCCGTTCTACATCCTCGTGTACGTCGACGACTTGGTCTTTGCCACAGCGGACACTGCTTTACTGGCCTACGTGAAGTCCGAGCTGCTGAAGAGACACACGTGCACAGACCTGGGTGAACTGCGCAGCTACCTTGGCTTGCAGACCACTCGGGACAGAGCACGCCGCACCATTACCTTGACTCAGTCACACATGGTGCAGCAGGTCCTTCAGCGCTTCGGCTTTACGTACTCCTCGCCTCAGGCCACTCCTCTGTCTACCCGCCACTCACTCTCAGCTCTGCCTTCGGATGAGTCCGTAGAGTCGAGTGGCCCGTACCCAGAGCTTGTTGGCTGCCTCATGTACCTGATGACCTGCACACGACCTGACCTTGCATACCCTCTGAGCATTCTTGCACGCTATGTTGCTCCTGGGAGACACCGACCAGAGCACATGGCTGCAGCGAAGAGGGTCTTGCGCTACCTGTGCAGTACGTCGGGCATGGGGCTAGTGCTTGGAGGGCGCAGTCCAGTGGTCCTTACAGGTCATGCGGACGCTTCTTGGGCTGACGACCAGGCTACGCAGCGGTCGTCACAGGGTTACACCTTCAGCCTTGGTTCCGGCTCTGTCTAGTGGCGGGCTACTCGTTCGTCTTCGGTTCTCAGCTCCAGCTGTGAGGCTGAGATCTACGCAGGGGCCATGGCTGCACAGGAGCTTCGCTGGCTCACCTACCTGCTGACTGACCTTGGAGAGCCGCCTCGTTCTTTTCCAGTGCTGTACGTAGACAACAAGGCCATGCTGGCCTTGTGTCGAGAACAGCGTCTGGAGCACAGAACGAAGCACATTGCTCTTCGCTACTTCCTTGCTCGTGAGCTACAGCAGCGTGGACAGTTGCGGCTTGCGTACGTGGCCTCTGAGGCCAACACTGCTGATGTGTTCACCAAGGCACTCGCGCCTTGTGACCATCAGCGCTTCTGCACCCAGCTGGGTCTTGTGCCTGTCTTGCCTCACTTGCTCTCCTCTTGACTTTACTTGTACTGTGACATATATATATACCTGCTCTTGCTTGTCTAGCTTTATATATATGTCTATACTCTTGCATGTGAACTGGCCTTTGGCCTTTCTCTTGTGCTCGGACTGTGTGGTGACTTTGTGATCCACCCTGAGCTTTGCTTTGCTTTGCTTGACTGGTCTTGTGACCCCTTGTTCTCCCCCACTTTGCCTATGGGGGTGTGTCAGAACATATATATAGCTTATACTATTGTGTAGGCTGTAGTGGGGTATCCCATAGGGGGTACAACCAGTTAGGGTTTCCTATTTGTACTCACTTCATTCATAGTTCATTCATTCTCGTTCTATTCTCAACACAAGCTGCTTTTGCGTCAACGTCGCGAGCGTAAATTCAGCCATGGCGGGGGTGTCGGTCAAGCGCAGCGAGAGCCTCTGTCGTGGCCGTGCGTGCTTACGAGAGAGCACTACGAGCGGCGGTGCTTGATCGCTGAGAGACGTCTACCCCCCCCAAAAAATTGAGATAGTGGGGAAACGAAGGTGTGAATGCGGTCCGAGAAGAGATCGTAGGCTCTGAATACCAAGTGTTACGTGTGCAATGGAGTGCGCGAACGAAGATTGCACTATCGAAGCAAAGGTACAATGAGCGAAGGCATGAGCGAAGGATTATATAGCGAAACTACAGTGGTAACGGTAATGGACTGTGGTTGTCGCGCGACGGGCCTGGGACTGAGGTTGGGAAAAGTGTCGAGGCGGAGGTCCGGAGCGCGGGTTACCGCCGAGCCGTGAGGTCGGGGTACGACATGCGAAAAATGGCGGGCGGATTATTGATGCGAGTGGTAACGGTGCTGACTGAGGTGCTACAGTGATGTACGCGTTGAGCGGGGATGCGAAGTAAGGAAAAGGAATTTTCCTTACATTCGCCCGTTACTGCGAACGGGGCTTCGCCGACTTCGCGCGCACTGCTGGACTGCTGGACTGGCCGTGTCGGCCTACCCTTTGGGACTAGCCCGAGCCTCGCTTCCAGCGTAGCACTAGCTAGATCGCACGCACCGCGTTACCGTTTGCATGTTTCGTGTATAAATGTTTGCTCACATCTTTGACACTTAGGGTGCATTCCGTTGTGGACACATGTCCCAATCGATGTGTCCCAATCGTTTCCACCGCACTGCATCGTATTACACCGAATTGCACCCTAGTTTCGAAATTTTCGCGTCTTTGGTTTAGTTCGGTTCGGAGCGGTACACTCGATTGGGACACATCGATTGGGACATGTGTCCACAGCGGGATGCGCCCTTAGTGCAATTCTCGCTACTTCGATTCATTGCACCCGTAACACTGTGACTTGAGTGTTCTCGTGGGGGTGGTACTAACTTTCGTCACGTCAGCATGGCCCATTTGTTTGCTCACTTCACCGCATCAAACCGATCTCTTCGTGTGTATGTGAAAGTGAACACTAGCGGCATGTCTTGACAATTCATCCTAACATGTCTCAAGGAGTTGTTTTGAGATTTTCGACGTTCCAGCAGAATCACAATCGGTTAGGTATGGTACTTAGCGCTAACGGGCTACACGTGACACGCCCTCACCCTCCCACAATACAAACTACCCTTCCCTGGCTTTCCTTCTTTCAGCTGGGCGGCAGGCTCAAGTGATCAACATCATCACATCACTCGCTCGCCGGCATGGCTCTCTCAACATAGGCATAGTTGTAAATTATTAATGGCTATGTACTGTGTCGACCCTCACAAGGCGGGAATTGCTCAACTCGTGCGATCGCAAGCTTGCCTCTGCTCTTCCTATAATAGGCGCCAATGATCTTAGCTTATGACGAGCTTATGAAGAAGTTTCCTTAGAAGAAGAATACGACGTTTTTAGCTTATGCGTCACTACTTTCACGCGCTCACGCGGCTTAGCTTCTTCGCCTTTCCCTGTTGGTTTTACGCCATCGCCGAGGCCACAAATCATCCATTTTATTTAAGGCTACGGTTGGTCGACCAAAAGCCATAGTTTTTGTCACGGAAAGTGCTGAATCTAAATTCCTGATTTTACCTGACCGTCGGTATCGAGAAATGCTCTGCGTTGCCGATTCTTCATTGTTGTGATATTCCTGCCGAAATCCTTTTCCCGCGCCGACATTAGGAATTCTCCCCGCGTGGCATGAGCAGGGGTCGGTTCACCTGAGATCCACCCAGCACTGCTGCGGTCCTGTAAACGCGTGAGTTTTCTTTGACCTTCGCAAACATTAAACTCCTTCCCGCTGAATCCTTAATCTTGTCTCTTCGCACAATTGGACCGGGATTGGGGATGGCTGTTGAAAGTGGAGGCGGGAGAGGAGACGGGAGAGGAGACGGGAGAGGAGACGGGAGAGGAGAGGGGAGAGGCGACGGAGAGGAGAGGGTAGAGGAGGCGGGAAGGAGACGGGATAGGATATAACACGAGAGGAGGTTTAAAAAGTCATCTGAGTGGATAGGAGCTGATTATTGAGTCCACTCTGAAGTAACCTGGACTTATTTGTCTCCCTGAGAGAGGATCGAAGGGGTGACAAGTAGTTAGATCAAGAAAGAAAGGAGAAAGGAAACGATCAGTTAAACAGGGAAACGAGCAAGTAGGAGGGGAGCAGTTCAGATAGGAAGGGGACAATCAGGTAGGGAGGAAAGGAGGGAGACAATGAGGTAACGGGGGGGAGATTGAGCTTCCATAAGGAGAGAATAGGGGTCACGAAACGGGAAACGGGGGAGAAATGAAAGAGGGAATGCTAAGAAGGGGATACATTTGTTTGTTGTATCGACTAAACGTCTGTTTATCCTCCTCCACGAGTGTGACTATGTGACTGTGCGATGATGTGATTATGTACTGATAACCTTTTTTTTTCCTGAGCTCATTTAGTGTTCTGCTGCTTCTTTCCTGTAATTGTATTGTGTGTTCTTCCAGATCCAACCATGCAGGAATCCACCAAAAAGACCTCAGGGTTATTTACCCTGTCAATAGTAGCGGCGTGGTACACAAGCAACATCGGAGTGTTGCTGCTGAATAAATTCCTGCTAAGCAGCTATGGCTTTAAGTACCCCATCTTCCTCACCATGTGTCACATGACCGCTTGCTCCCTCTTCAGCTACGTTGCCATTGTGTGGATGAAGATCGTCCCGCTGCAGGTAAGCACGCATTACTGTAACAGGGTAACCACACAGCCTGTCTGCAGATTGTGTGGTGGATGAAGGTCGTCCCGCTGCAGGTAAGCGCGGTCGCAGTGTTACAGGTAAGTGACGGTTACGTGTAACATTGCATGTCAGCTAGCCTCATCTTCAGCTGCGTCGCCATTGTGTGGATGAAGATCGTCCCTCTCCAGATATGTGAGTTGGGCTCTAAGTGCCCAGTGTGAGTTGGGCTTTGCGTGTCCAGTGTGAGTTGGGCTTTAGAGTGTCCAGTGTGAGTTGGGCTTTAAATGTCCAGTGTAAGTTGGGCTTTATGCGCCCCATATTCGTGCTGCTGTTCCATACTCCAGGTTATGAAGAAACACCTGAAACTGACCCAAAAGCGTCTCTTGCCCTTTCCATTAAACCAACCCCTCTGCCCCTCCATTTCCTCAAAAACCTTTCGTACCACCCTAGCTCGAACGCCCCACAATCCTACACTCACACCGAATCTCCCATTTCCCCCACATTCATCCCTCCCTCCCAACCTTTCACGCATCCCGTTTTCTGAGACGTCTCAAAACACCTTTCGTATCACCCTAGCTCGAACGCCCCACAATCCTACACTCACACCGGAATCTCCCATCCCCCCCACATTCATCCCTCCCTCCCAACCTTTCACACATCCCGTTTTCCAGCCTCTCAAGTCCACCTCCCAACTCCTCAGAATCGTTGCTTTAAGTGCCGTGTTCTGTTTCTCAGTGGTGGGCGGCAACACGTCGCTGCGCTTCATCCCAGTGTCATTCAACCAGGCCATCCGCGCCACCATGCCATTCCCAACCCTCCAACGCTCACTTCCCCCAGTTTCTCTCTTTCTGCCCTCGTAATTCTGACTCTTGCCTCTCCTTTCCTTTTCTCCCCCACCCCCCCCCCCCCCCCCATCTCCCAGCCACTCAAATCCACCTCGCAGCTGCTCAGGATCGTGGCTCTCAGTGCCGTGTTCTGCTTCTCAGTGGTGGGCGGCAACACATCCCTGCGCTTCATCCCGGTGTCGTTCAACCAGGCCATCGGCGCCACCACGCCATTCCCAACCCTCCAATGCTCACCTCCCCCAGTTTCTCTCTTTCTGCCCTCGTGATTCTGACTCTTCTCCTGTGCCTCTCCTTTCCCCCACCCCCCCATCTCCCAGCCACTCAAGTCCTCCTCGCAGCTGCTCAGGATCGTGGCTCTCAGTGCCGTGTTCTGCTTCTCAGTGGTGGGCGGCAACACGTCGCTGCGCTTCATCCCAGTCTCATTCAACCAGGCCATCGGCGCCACCACGCCATTCTTCACGGCTGTCTTTGCCTACCTCCTCACCTTCAAGCGCGAGGCCGCCCTCACGTATGCCGCGCTCCTGCCCGTCGTGCTCGGCGTTGTCATCGCCACCGGGGTGAGTCTGTGAGGGAGCGAGTGAGTGAGTGAGTGAGCAAGTGAGTGAGGGAGTGACTGAGTGAGTGAGTGAGGGAGTGAGGGAGTGAGGGAGTGAGTGAGTGAGTGAGTGCGCTTCATCCCGGTGTCGTTCAACCAGGCCATCGGCGCCACCACGCCATTCTTCACGGCTGTCTTTGCCTACCTCCTCACCTTCAAGCGCGAGGCCGCCCTCACGTATGCCGCGCTCCTGCCCGTCGTGCTCGGCGTTGTCATCGCCACCGGGGTGAGTCTCTCAGTCAGTCGTTCAGTCAGTCAGTCAGTCAGTCAGTCAGTCAGTCAGTCAGTCAGTCAGTCAGTCAGTCAGTCAGTCAGTCAGTCAGTCAGTGAGTCGTGCTCGGCGTCGTCATCGCCAGCGGGGTGAGTGAGTGAGGGAGTGAGTAAGTGAGCGAGGGAGTGAGTGAGTGAGTCAGTCAGTGAGGGAGTGAGTGAGTAAGTGAGCGAGTCAGTGAGCAAGTGAGCGCTTTGTGAGAACATTGTGTGTGTGTTGGGGACAGGACGACTTTGTTACTTCGCAGCATGTTGCTTCAGCAGCACTTGTTCCACTCCTCTCCTCTCTTCAGAAATCAGCTCTCCTCACGCTTGTCGCTTCCCTTCTGTCCGTCCCCCACCCCCTCGCTCCCCTCACATCAGAGCAAGCTCAGCCTTCACCTCTCTGGCTTCATTCTCCCACACATGGTCAAAGGGCAGCAGTACTAGAGAACAGCTTTAACAGTATCCTTTACTCTCTTTCTTACTTGCTAAAGCTGTTCTCTAGTACTGCTGCCATTCCACCATGACTGACAACCTCCCATCAGGGCAAGCCCAGCTTTCACCTCTCTGGCTTCATTACTTGTTTATCAGCAACGGAGGCAAACGTGCTGCCTCAGCAGCAGTCCCGATTAAATCTGCTCCCGCACTCCACCTCTCCCTTTATTACCCTCCCATCAGGGCAAGCCCAGCTTTCACCTCTCTCGCTTCATTACTTGTTTATCAGCAACGGAGGCAAACGTGCTGCCTCAGCAGCAGTCCCGATTAAATCTGCTCCCGCACTCCATCTCTCCCTTTATTCCCCTCCCACCAGAGCGAGCCCAGCTTTCACCTCTTTGGCTTCATCATCTGCGTATCAGCTAGCAACAGCAGCCAGCGTGTTGCTTCAGCTCTCCTTGCACTTGTTACTTTCCCTCTGTCTGTCCCCTACCCCTTTTCTCCCCTCCCACCAGAGCGAGCCCAGCTTTCACCTCTTTGGCTTCATCATCTGTGTATCAGCAACAGCAGCCAGGGCACTCAAGTCTGTGCTGCAGGGTTTGCTGTTGCAGTCAGATGGGTAAGTTTGTTTATGTACACTGATCATTAGTGCATATCGATATGCCCATGATTGAAAAAAAATGTTTTTTGTAGCAAGAACAGCCAGGGCACTCAAGTTTGTCCTGCAGGGCCTGCCGCTGCAGTCAGATGGGCAAGTTAGACATTTAAAGTCACCATTGGAATACAGATGTGAAAACTGGAAAATGTTATTTGAGCAACGACAACCAGTTCTCAAGCTTGTGCTGCAGGGCTTGATGCAGTCAGTTGGGTAAGTTTGTGAGTCTACACTCAAATGAAATGGGTACATCTCTTCTCCGCTCTTTCTCCATCCTTCTCCAGCTATCAGCTCAATTCCATGAACCTTCTCTTCTACATGCCTCCCATCGCAGTCCTCCTCATTCCCTCCTTACCTTCTCTTCTTACTCTTCTGCTCATTTTCCCACTCAGCTCCCCTTCCCATCCACCCCCCGGCCCACCCCCATCCCCCTTCCAGCCATCAGCTCAACTCCATGAATCTGCTCTTCTACATGGCTCCCATTGCAGTGCTCCTGCTCCTCCCTCCTCATCCTGTCTTCCTACTCTTCTCGCCTCCCTTTCGTCTTTTCCCTTTCCCTTCCAGCCATCAGCTCAACTCCATGAACCTGCTCTTCTGCATGGCTCCCATCGCAGTGCTCCTCCTCCTCCCCGCCACTCTCATCATCGAACCAACCGTGCTCGCCGTTGCTGCCAGTAAAGCAAGAGCATGTGGTCTCGCCGTTGCTGCCCGCAAGGCGGGCCAAGACTGGGGGATCGTCCTGTTACAACCCCGTTGCCTTCCCTTCTTTCCCCTCCCACCTCTCCCCTACTTTCCCCCCCCCGAATCTCCCTCTCAACCCCCCTCCAGCCATCAGCTCAACTCCATGAATCTTCTCTTCTACATGGCTCCCATCGCAGTACTCCTCCTCCTCCCCGCCACTCTCATCATCGAACCAACCGTCCTCGCCGTTGCCGCCAGCAAAGCGGGTGAAGATTGGCGGATCGTCCCTCTGCTCCTGGTCAACTCCTCTACTGCGTTTTTCGTCAATCTCACCAACTTTCTGGTTACCCGTTACACGAGCGCACTCACTCTTCAGGTGCGCTCACTCTCTAGGTGCTCTTCACCCTCGTCAGTACTTTCTCACTCTCCAGATATGTCATTCACCCTACAGGTACTCTCACTTTCTCCAGGTTACTCACTCTCTCTGGGTACTCTCAATCATTCTAGGTACTCTCACTCTCGCCAGGTTCTCTCACTCTCTCCAGGTTCTCTCACTCTCTCCACACGCTCTCACTCTCCTGGTACTCTTCACATGTGTCACCCACTCTCCTGGTACTCTCTCCTGGTACTCTCTCCTGGTACTCTCTCCTGGTACTCTCTCCTGGTACTCTCTCCTGGTACTCTCTTCTGGTACTCTCTCCTGGTACTCTCTCCTGGTACTCTCTCCTGGTACTGTCTCCTGGTACTCTCTCCTGGTACTGTCTCCTGGTACTCTCTCCTGGTACTGTCTCCTGGTACTCTCTCCTGGTACTGTCTCCTGGTACTCTCTCCTGGTACCCTCACTCTCTTCAGGTACTTTCTCACTCTCCACATATGTCACTCACTTTCAAGGTACTCTCGCTCCCTCCAGGTGCTCTCGCTCTCTCCAGGTGCTCTCGCTCTCTCCAGGTGCTCTCACTCTCTCCAGGTGCTCTCACTCTCTCCAGGTGCTCTCACTCTCTCCAGGTGCTCTCGCTCTCTCCAGGTGCTCTCGCTTCCGGGTACGCTGTGCACTATGCAGCATCGTGTCATGATGAGATGCTAGATTGCACCGTGGGTGCTTCATTGCAGGTTTTGAGAAGTCTCAAAACCAGGTAAGTTATGCACTATCCAGCAGTGTGTCATGAGATGCTACACTGCACTGTGCGTGTTTCATTGCAATTCCTTGACTTTCTGAGGCGCATTGGGGTACTACTAGTTGTACTCGGTAACTCTTCTTTCCCCTTTGTTTTTTCTCTCTTACCGTACGTCAGGTGGTCAAAATTGAAAAGGGTGCTGTTGCTGTTGTCATCTCAATTGATATCAAACCACTCTTTGCGCTGATGTCTTCGTGCCTTGTTGCCAGGTCCTCGGAAATGCCAAGGGTGCAGTTGCTGTTGTCGTCTCAATCATCATATTCCGAAACCCTGTAACTTTACTAGGGATGATAGGCTACGGAATCACTGTAGCTGGGGTTGTTTTGTACAGTGAGGCAAAGAAACGAACGTTGAGTTCTAGAAAGCCTGATAGACTGCCACTTGCATTGACATTGTCAACTCGTAGAAAGCTGATTCATTACTATTGACATTTCCAATGTACAGCCCACTTTTCAAAACATTGACGAGGTTGCGACGTGGCCAAGACATATCAGATAGTTGAACCATGATTTCCTCCACGAAAGTAAACATTTGGGAGTGTTACGCGAGGATGACTGCAGCGAAGGCGAAAGACCAAGCGACAACACAGTTACCGTATTCCCCCGGATATAAGACCCTAGGGTCTCTTATGCCAAATCCCTAGAAAAAATCAGGGGGGTCTTAACAAAGGAAAAAAATATATAATACCCGGGTCTTTTCATATGGCATATTTTGTTTTAGTGTTTCCAACACTACACTTAATACTGAAGTTATGGGTTTGCTTTTGGTGACCACCACGACAGCGAAAGTGATCGCTTGACCATTCACAACAAATTCGCCCATCACAGTAAATTTAGCCCCTCCGACGCAGCGATTTCGCCCCCTGACACAGCAATTTTGCCACCTGACGCAACAGTTTCGCCCCCTGACGAGGCAAACTCGCCTCTTGACGCAGCAAAATCCCCTGACTCGGGAATTCACCCCCGAAAGCCGATTCGCACTTAAAAATGTTTCAGTTTCAAATGAAACAAAGAAATAGTACAAGGAAAATCTCAGCGGGAACGCATCGTCAAGCCTGACGACCAGGGCTGATTTTATCAGGGTAATTACCCTGATTTCAGGGTGATTCCAGGCTTTCCACTTTGTGGAGACTGAAATTTCAGAGTTATTGAATTTTTAGCCCTGATCCAATCAGAGTAATAGTTTAGCTATCCCTGATTTTGAGTACATTGTAACAGACTAGGCTGTCAGTGGACCCTGACTTAACAGAGTATCGACTCTGTGGACCCTGACTTATCGAGAGGAAGTTTCTCAGAAGTTTCCCTCCGATGACCCCGCCTTGGATTGATCGCAGTGATCCCCCCACATGTGCGTAATCCCCCCCCTTCCCGCTTTATGGAGAAGAAGTTTCTTCGAAACTTCGTTCTGATACACCTACCATCGAGATCGCGCGAATCTGCAATGTCAGATATACTTTGCTGGGATTGGTCGAAATAGGCTCTGACAGCGGAAATTTTTGATTCGAACAGGTGTGACTCGCCCGTTCGGTCGTTACACTCGCTCCAGAAGGAACGCCTCTGAGGGTGACTAACTACAGTCGCAGCTTGTCTGATGCATGCCATCTGAAGAGATCCTATTGGGCATGGTAAGACAGGGAAACGTTACACTCGCACACCAGATAGGTCAATCACACCCGCCCTGCACAAATCGGTCGCGTGTACAGCCAGCGGGAAACACAGCGCGCAGACTTTATGGATGGTGGGGATTTTCTCCCCGGTAATAAATCGCGCGTTACTACTCTGATGTTCAGTTCTTGACCCTGAACAATCAGAGTTAACTACTTTACAACCCTGAGCAATAAGGGTATTGCTTTTCCGGAAAAGGTGCACCCATAATAGAGGGGGAAAATTTTCCCCGGAATCAGGGAGGCTTAAAATGAAACGTCAGCCCTGCTGACGACCCTCTGACGACTTGACGACATGCTGCCCCGGGCAGAAAAAAACTAAAACCCCATCGGATGGCATGCCATCCGAGGGAGGCATCAACCCTAAATCCATGCCTCCCCGTGTTTAGGGTTGATGCCTCCCTGACTGGATGCATGCCCTTCTGGGGTTTATTTTTTTTTCCCGCGGGCAGCGAGCTCCCCCGGGCGGACTCGCTTGTCCGCTGAGATATACTCTTCGGAAAACCTCTCTAAAGGGGAAAGGGGGGGGGGGTCTTATATTGATCACCCACCAAAAGGGGGTATAACGAAATCTAGGTTTAATAAAAGACACCCCCCGTATTAGGTACCCGGAGGTGTTGTATTTTGGGGGGGTCTTCCATCCGAGGGAATACGGTATCTGGACAATTGTTAACGGGAATGGAGTGTTGGCCCCGCCCTCGCTTGGGCAACGCCGACGACTTGGTCAAATGTACGGGAGTAGCAGCCGACCGTTCATAGTGAGAGAGCTGCTCGACAGGCTTCGTCTTGCTGCAGATGACCGCTGTGGTGTTGCTGTCGACCGGGGAGCTCGACAGCTGCAACTAACTGGTCTGGGCGACGGGTGGGACGTCGACCAGGACCTACAGCTCGACCGGGAGGTCTCCGAAGCATCCCGTCGACCTGCTGCTCAACCGGGAGGAATTCGAAGCATCCCGTCGACCTGCTGCTCGACCGGGAGGTCTCCGGAGCATCCCGTCGACCTGCAGCTCGACCGGGAGGTCTCAGAGCATCCCGTCGACCTGCAGTTCGACCGGGAGGTCGACGGAGCAATCCGTCGACCTGACAAGTGAGCAGCGGTCGACGAGGGGAGCTCGGCGACAACCGCTGACGGCTCTAGTGGATGGAAGGGGTCCGTCGACCAAGAGGTAGCTCGACGGGAGTTGTGGTTGACCAGAGGGACCTGGTGGTCGACCGGGTCGACCGGGTAACCTGCTCGACGAGTTCTGTGGAGGCACGCAAACGTCGTCGAGGTTGCGATGGCGCAGGCGACTTCGGGCTGGTATCCCGAAGTCGATGTGGCTCGTCAGGCGCAGACAACAGCCGACAGATGCCCCACGATGCAAGTCGGGCCAATCGTCTGCGTGCACCTGCGAGCGTGCGCACTGCTGTGTTCTACGGGGCAACGCTGGACAGCCGCTCTGCTGCAGCGTTGGCACGCCGTCGACCGGCTCTGTTGGCAGGTCGCCCTTCTGCAGTGCTGGCGCAGCTCCTCTACGCAACCCTGGCAGGCGGTCGACCAAGCTGTGCTGGCGGTCGACCAGACTAGCTGCAGGGTTGCTAGGTGCCTGATGTAGTCATTGTTGCCATTGCTTGTTGAATCATTTCTATAATTCCAACTTTGCTAGTGAAAAATCTTGCCGATTTCTTTCGTGAATTCGCAAGCACTAAGGAACCAAGCAAAGCTACGATCACTCCTAGTAGTTCGTGCCAACCCCCGTAGTCTAGCTCACTACCGTTGTAGAGTGACTCTCCTCATGGTGCGGTGAGCGTGGAACGAACACGCGACCTTCAGATAGGAGCCGACTTTTGCACCTACTAAGTCGTTCGTAGGCCGGCAGCAGCGATAGTCGCCATGGGCGACCCCGTAGTTGATGCGGGCGTAACAGACACCTTGGAGATCGGGACGCGAGGAGACGCCACGCGGATGGCGAGTACGGGACGATCCCCTTGGTGATCGCCGAGTTGGGCATCCGGTCGGAGTGGGCGACGGAACACCCTTCCCGTCCTGCTTCTCCTCGACCGGTGCGCAACGAAGGTGGCGTCGACGACGAGGTTGACGGTGGTGCATGAGTCAGCAACAGCACAGACACAAGGCAGAGAGGGGTGATCAAGGTCGACAGTGGTGTCGACGGAATCCAGGCGCGAGTGCAGCAGTCGACGGCAGCTGCAGGCAGCTCGCGTGCCGCCGTCGATGTTCGGCGTCGCTCTCCTCTACGAAGCAGTGGAGGGCTCTCGGCGCACGCATGTGACTGCAGGCGGGATTGCACTGGCGTATGGCTACTTCAAATTCTCGCCGGACCGGATCACCGTCGCACCGCTGCAAGGTCGACGGGACCTCATCACCTGGAGGGAGTCGATAGAACCTCACCTGGAGGTCGCCGGGCTGAAGGGCTGCGCCGACGGCACCGTGCCAATTCCGCCCAAGGAGGATGTCGAGCTGCGCGGGGAGTTTCGTTCTGCTCACCTGCTCACCTTCATGGTCATCTCGAGGTGCTGCTCGCCGGTGTTGCAGCTAGCACTCAGGAGCTGTCGAGAGCGATTGGATGCTGGTCACCAGGCATGGCGCTTCATCATGTCGACGTACCAGGTTAGGGACGACCTGTACATCGGGCAGCTGGAGGAGAAGATGACTCACATTCGGATGGGCGAGCAGGAGTCGGCGACGGATTACTGCAACCGTGCTTGACGAATCCTGGCTGAGATGCGGATGGCGCGCGCCGAATACTCGACAGCGTCCTACATCACCCACATCGTCAAGGGCTTGCCGCACAGCTACAATCTCATGAAGAGAATGATGATGGTGCCCGGCACGCGTGAGTCCCTCGACGATGACTCTATCACCAGCTACATTGTTCAAGATGAGGCGATGCAGGAGGTCGAACAGCCTGCAGAGCTCCTTCCGCATGCAAACTACGTTGCGTTGACGAAGCTGAATCAGCAGCAAGGGCAGCGCGGGAAGCCGGGCGGAGGTGGTAGCGGAGGTGGGCGATCGACGAAGGACGTCGACGAGAAGCGGTCGACGCGGGACAAGGGTCGAAGAGGTGGTGGTCGACGGCGGGAGTGCTGGATATGCGGCGACCCCGACCATCTCTCCTTCGAGTGCCCTGACCGCGATGATAGCGTCGAGGACGGCAACAAGGGAGGCCGTGGTCGATCGGCCAGTCGTCGCCCCCGTCGAGATGAGAAGTCGCGCAAGGAGAAGCAAGCGTCGAAGAAGACGTCGTCGACGAAGGACGTCGACAGCTCCAGCGGCAAGAGCCGAGGCGACGGGGAGGCGTCGTGCTCGATGGTCGGCGTGGTGGAGCCGACGGTCTCGCTGGCGCTGGAGGCTGGCGAAGACTTCCAGGCAGTGGCGGCATTTGTGCAGGCCAACCCGATGGCGGTGCTTCTCGACAGCGGGTGCTCCCACCACCTGATGGAGACGAAGTCGGCCTTCGTTGACATGGGGCCGAGCGACAGGGTGAAGCACGTGCGTGGGTTCAACGGGGCATTGCAACCTGTCGAGGGTCGCGGAACCATCGCTCTGCAAGGGGAGGCCGGGAAGCGGGTCCTCATCCCCGACGTACTCTACGTTCCGGGCATACAGGTGAACCTTCTGTCTGCTGGCCAGCTGAAGGAGAGCGGAGTGCAGCTGCAGGGCAGCGGCGACGAGATGCTACTCGTCGCTGCAAGCAGGGAGGTACTCGGTCAAGCACGCTACACCGGACGTGTGCTCTGCACCGACCTTTGCCCCTGCTCGACGCAGTCGCTGTCAACCGAGGTGGTGGCTCTGCGGACGATCGTCTCGGCGACGAAGACGACCCCTGATAGGATGCATGCGCGGCTCGCACACGTCAGTGTCGACACGATCAAGAGCTCGGCAAAGCATGATGTTGCTGATGGGCTCGACATCACGTCGTCGACCGGAGCAGACCCACCGTGTGTCTCATGCGTCAGAGGAAAGCTGGCGCGGCACACCTTCCCCGCCAAGGGCTCGGACACAGCGGAGGCGCTAGCTGTCATGCACATTGACTTGTGCGGGCCATTTTGGGTGGCTGCCAAAGATGGCAGCTTGTACATCCTGTTGTTGAAGGATCGCCATACTCGATTTGTATGGGCAATGCCGGT